GAACATACACCTTACATAGAATAAGAAAACAAAAAAAAATCTTACCCAGGAAAGGATTTTATCTATTCATCAAGCAGAAAACAGTTTCCTGAAATGTTTGCATCCAACTATGTTGACCCTTGGTCTTCACCTTAATATAAAGAGCCCAGCAGCTCAGTCATCATCAGCAAAACCATCTGCGCTACAATCACCCTTATTTTATTTTCCCTTTTACCGGAGCCTCAGTCAGATGGATCGCTTGATATTAACCTTGTATTTGGAGAGTGAACAATTCAATGCTTAGGAAATGATCTTTAACGATGTTGCAGGACATCTATTATCCTGCCAGTCCAGCAAACCATTCGTGCCTTTCCTGGTAATAACACCCTGATTTTTCTTAAGACATCACCTATTCTATATGGTTGGTTGGGGATGACCACACCCCTTGCTCCAAAGATGGACAGGTAAACCAGTCTTGGCTAATCAGAATAGTGAGTATCCCTGTCCGGAGTGATTGGTTCAGGAATGAGCATGTTAATTAAGCCAGCCAATCACAGCAAATCCAGTACTCTAGTTTTAAGAGTTGGAAAAGAGTTGTGCTCTTTCCACAGGATCTGCTGAGAAGGCAGGTACACACCTGGAGCTGCTGGCTGCCATCGTGTCATTTCACCATCAAGAGGGGACAGCTGCCTGAAAGCTAAGCCAGTGGAGAGAAAAACAGACCTGATAGGCAGGGAGGGTCATAGCAAGCCCCGGTGGCGTTCTTGGACCCTCTGGATCCAGCCACACCCAAAGCTAAGTTAGGTTCTGGATGTGACCCAACAAACCTCTTTTGCTCAAGTTAGTTGGAGTTGGTTTTCTGTCACAGGCCACCAGAAACATCTCTTCTAATAGCGCAGTCATGGGAAGAACGACACTAACGGATCGAAGAGGGCATTCCCGAGAACACGGCCTTCCGAAGGCCTGCTCCTGCAGGGAGCTTCCTGCATTGCAAGGCTGTCCTCCAGTGGCCTCATTCACACAGAAATGCAAGATCATGTCAGCTTTTGCCTAACCGTTTCTTTGATCAATTGGTCCTAGTGGAGTTCATTGAAATGTCTTATGAAAATCTCCCTTAATAGGCTCTGATCTTTGCCTGTGCCTGTCCCTGTCATGCTCGTAAATAGGGCATCTTGACGAGAAGAGTCTCTCTGACAACTGATACCTTTTGGCTGCATTCTTAAATATATTATCTCCTGATTTTCTCTCAAGCTTTTATTTTCTGCCCCAAATTTCCAGGGTTAGAGTTTAATATGAATATAGCTTAGCTTTGTTTAATCTTTCTGTACCTAAGTCTGAGATCCACAATTAAGAGGCCTGTACGAGTCAATAATAATACTGTTCTATGGTTATATTGAGAGTATTTTTATGTTTATAATCTTGTTTAATTTTCCCAATAATCTTTTGGGGTGGATACTTTCTGAGGTCTTGTAAAGCCCTAACTCTATGTTTCTATATTTAGAAATAGGAGAAATACATATTTTAATACTTGTTAAAGAATATGAACACATGCCCTGGCCAGGTAGGTCAGTTGGTTGAAGCTTTGTCCTGATGTACCAAGGTTGTGGGTTCAGTCCCCCATTAGGGGCACATACATGAGTCAACCAATAAATGCATAAATAAATGGAACAACACATCAAGGTTTCTCTCTCACCCTCTCTCTCTCTAAAAGCAAAAAAAAAAAAAAAAAGAATGTGAACACTTATACAGGAATGTAAAATCATGATGATTAGGATGTGTATGTAGATCATGATAAATACCTTGAGACCAAAAAAAAAATTGTTTTAACCAACACGCAAAAACAACCAAGTGGACACTAGAACTGGAGCACAGGTAGCATTTGCAGACTAAACCGAGGCATCACAATAATCCCCAGACCCCGTCAGCGGTGCTGGGTGCTCTTCTTTTACAAGTAGATCTTCAAATACTCTGCATTAATCAATGATAGGAGTGGAGGGGAAGGTTAAAGCATATTAATTATCTAAAAACAAACTCACAGAAAAGCATCTATTAATTTTCAAAATTGCAAAGGTTGCCAGACATCCATGAAACTGTCACTGCAGAATGCATTAAAAAATGCTAAGAGTGCAAACAACAGGAAATTACTATTCATGGCCACTGAGCAATGGGCTGGGGTGACTATGAGCTCCCTGGCCTGGAAGACGCTCTGGACAGCAAAGTCCAGGCTCAGCAGTCTCTCTACAAGCAAAAGCAAGTCTAGCCTGGAGTAGGCAACGTTCTCGAAGGTATTCTTGAGGACAGGGCAAATCTCTGGCTCCTAAATCATCTTATTATATAACACAGCTCCTGAAACTCTACTTTGTCATCCTTTTGTTTGGGTCTTCAAGGGCTTTCAGCCTCAGAGGCTCCTTTGGAGGATGAGCACCACAGATCCCTGTTGATGAGGATTAGGAGACACTCGGCTGGGGTAGAGCCTTGCAGAAACAGGATGGACGCTGATATCCTGACAGTAGTGTTAAAAACAAGGCAAAGGGGGTGGGGGAGGTAGAAGAGACTGTACAGGGGATACATGGTGATGGAAGGAGGCTTGTCTTGGGGTGGCGAACACAGTACAATATACAGATGGTGTATTATAGAATGGTACACCTGAAACCTATATTATTTTATTAACCAATGTCACCCCAATAAATTCAATTAAAAATAAAAAAATAAAAATAAAACAAGTCCCAAATGGAGTTGCTTATGGCAGGCCCCACATCACCAAATAGAGACTGAAATACAGTTTCGGCTCTCCCAGAAATGGAATCTTAAACTCGTCCATCAGGAATCGCCTACACAGCGCTAGTCAGTTAACGTGGCTGATGGGCCCCTGCCACCCTGGAAGGAAAGGAACCTTGTACTAACTGACCTGCCTACCTACCTAGTGCAGCGACTTCCTTGTTCCTGCTCCTTCCGTCTATAAAAGTCATTTTGTGTAACTCCTTGGAGCTCCCTTCTGTCTGCTAGATCGAACACTGCCTGATTCATGGGTCACTGCGTAAAGCCATTAGGATCTTTAAAATGTACTCAGTTGAACTTATTTTTTTAAACACCAGGGAAAGAGGGGGGCTAAACACATTGAGGGAGGGGAAGGAGGGTCACAACCGGCAACCACAAAATGCAAACTCGCTTCACAAATCTGTTCCCTCAGCGAACAACAACCCAGTTTTCCCAAAAGTTAAAAGAAAAATTCCTCAAGTTTTCCCTTTCTCTGCAATTTTGGGAAGGCTGCTTCTTGCTTTTCTAAATTTGTCCATATTCTTTTTAAGTTACTTGGAAACCGTGGCATCTGCCTTCAGCAAAAATACTTAAACATCCCCCATATTCACACATTTCTCAAAAATCAAATACATGATCAGATTTAATAAAATTATTCAAGAACTGTGCATAATTTGCTTCAGGCCTCAGCCCATGTATTTAAAGTTCATTGTACATAGGGATAGATTGGTATGTTAAAACCAGGGAACACAGATTGATTTGTATACTAAACATAGTTGGATTGAATTATAATCCATAGTTGGATTGAATTATAATCTTTTTTTTTATCCTTATCTGAGGCTATGGAGAGAGAGAGAGAGAGAGAGAGAGAGAAACATCAATAGGTTGCCTCCTGCATGCATCCCAACTGAGGCTCAAACCCAAAACCTAGGTATTTGCCTTGACCAGGAATTGAAGCTGCAACCTTTTGGTATATGGGATGATGTTCCAACCAACTGAGCCACCCAGCCAGTGTGGACTGAATTATAATCTTAGGGAAAACTTTTGATAAAACTCATCTCATTCCTTAAGATTTGCTTGTCTCCAAGTAGTCTAACAGTGCCTGCACATGGTACATGCTCAATAAATACTTGTTAAAAAATACTTTTAAACCCTGGCCGATGTGGCTTAGTTGGTTGGGCATTCCCATGCACCCAAAGGTTGTTGGTTCAATTCCTGGTCAGGGCACATGCCCAGGTTGCAGGCTCCATCCCCGGTAGAGGACGTACAGAAGGCCAATCGATATTCTGCTCTCACATTGACGTTTCTCTTTTCTTCTTTCCTCTCTCTCTAAAAATCAGTAAGCTATTCTTTTTTTCTTTAAAACATTTTTTTTTCCAGGTAGGCAAGAGCATCTAGCAAGAATTTAATGACATTATTTAGTTTTTATTTATTTATTAAAATTTCTTTTTCTTTATTGATTTTAGAGAGAGGAAGGGAGAAAGAGAAAGAGAGAGAGATAAAAACATTGATGAGAGAAAACATCAACTAGCCACTTCTTGCATGCCTCCCATGGGGATTTGACCCACAACTTGGGCATGTGCCCTGACTAGGAATCGAATCAGCGACCTCTTGGTGCATGGGTCAATGCTCAACCACTGAGTCATACCGACCAGGCAATAAACTATTCTATAAAAAAAAAATTTTCTTTTCATTTATTCATTGTAGAGAGAGAGAAATTGAGAGGGAGAGAGAGATAGAAACAGCAATGAGAGAGAACATCGATTGGCCGCCTCCTGCATGCCCCCCACTGGGGGTCGGGCCCACAACCTGGGCATGTGCCCTGACTGGGAATCAAACCAGTGACCTCTTGATGCATGGGTCAGTGCTCAACCACTGAGCCACACCAGCCAGACTAAATTATTCTTTTTTTAAAAAATACATTTAATCATGATAGAAGTTAGATAATAAAAGACTACATAATTAAACTACTCTTCAAACTGCAAGAAAAAAAAGGATAGTTTCACAGCTATTAGAAAAATTTTCCATAGAATAAAAGCAATGTAAAATGCAAATTATCCCTAAACAAACATGTGTGCACATTTCGTATTTAAACCAGAAACTACATCTCTTTACTCTCTAACTTCCTTGCGCATATTAATTATATCTGAAATTTATAAGGTATTAATAATAGAAAGTTGTAATGAAAGTTAATGTCAAGAACAGGGCGGAAAAAGATCAGACTTACTTTCTAAATATTGATGACTTTTTAAAAATGCACTTACGCCATTTGGACTGTCGACCCCAGAAATGAGGGGATGCAGTAGTCAGCAGCTGCCAGCGTGTATGGTGGGCGAGCAGCAGAATCATCCCAGTAGATGTCCTTCCTCATCTTGGGTAAGCTCATGTGCATTTCATCCACTGCTAAAAGAGAGACCTGACAGCATTGTTGTAGTGTTAGAACAATCCAGATGTGAGTTGGAGAAAGGAAGAGAACACGCTGCAGAGGGTGGACGGGATTTGGAGTGGGATGGAGCGCAGCCTGATGAGAGAATACGCCAATGTCTGGAGTTCTTATTGGCTGCAACCAGGGCTGCTGCGGAGAGCTGTAAGGTCATTTACTGCACAGAGCACTTGGCATCGGGGTTTGGGGAGTAAGTGGGGCTGTAAAACTGCCTGGCCTGGGTTCATCAAGCCATGGGCCTCAGAACAGGGCTGATTTTTACCTGGAGGCATGAGAAGCACCGTTTTCTTTGCTCGAAGTTACCGTATTGCCTATCCTGATGGCAACCGCAAATCCCAGCTATTGCAGGAAGCTGAAGATTCTCAATATCCCATTCTGTTGATTCCATAAACACCTTCATACTTGCTATCATTTCTTATGTGCCTTGAGCTTTTGTTTGTTTGGAAAAGTATATCAACACCCTATCCTGGTTGGGGCTATAGAGGTCTCTCCTCTTGACGTTGACAAACTGATGCATGAGTAAATTATTAAGCCTCTGGGAATCCAAGTTTTACGAAGAGGCAGTGTCTTAGGTATTATGCTTCCCTCCTAGCAGACTGACAATGTGATTACTGTGGGAGGTGATGGAGAGAATGTGACTGCCAGTTGGCCCAGGAGCTGGACCTGGGTAATCGGAGGTTCCTCAGCCTGCTGCCCTGTCCTTGGAATGTATGTGCTGGTCACAGTTTTCAAGGACACAGGCTTGAGGGAACAATGTGTTGTTGACACCATTGAACTCTGTGTAAGGACTTTATGTAAACATTTAAGCTTCTGTTAGGCGGGTGTGAAGATCTACCGATCTGGTGGTTGCCCAAAACGAGCCTTGGGTGTAAATGTCCCCTTGCTCATTAAACCTGCCGCCTACTGATCTGGAATGGTCTGCCCCTTTCTTCAGTCTCTCCTTGCCCTCCGGGTACGGGGGCCATTCTGGGAACCAACAGTGACTGATGGTGAAATGTTTGAAGCTGTTTAAGGGCTGAGGAAGGGTTTGAAACAAGCAGACAAGCTGAAGGTCTTTTCACAGTCTGTGGCTCTCGGGGTAGAGAATGGTCTGAGAGTCTCCCCTAAAAGGAAAATTACCTTATGCTGGTTTTTCATGGACAACCTCTCCAGGATAATGCTACAGAGAAGGGGCCCTGAGGTCCATTTGGTGCAATTCAGGCAGATTTGAGATACAGGCCAGTGTGGCCCATGTTCTTCGTGTCCAGCTGATGGACATCTGACTGCATGATGTGACTTTGGGAACCCTCACATCAGGTTGCCATTTACATCACTATTAACCTCTCTAGGTGGCAACAGAAAACAGATTAAAGAATGAATTAAAATATTGTTCTGTTTTGAGGTGGAAGAGGCTATATAACACTAAAAATAAAAGTTACAAAGAGCCTGGCTGGTGTGGCTCAGTGGTTGAGTGTTGACCCATGCACCAAGAGGTCACCAATTTGATTCCTGGTCAGGGCACCTGCCCAGGTTGTGGGCCAAATCCCCAGTGGGGGGCGTGCAGGAGGTAGCCAATCGATGTTCTCTCTCTTCCTCTCCCGTCCTCTCTCTCTAAAATCAGTAAAGAAAAGAAAAAAAAAAGTTACAAAGAAAACTGGCTTGAAATCCTGCTTAAAAGAGGCTGAATTTCCCAGGAACTGTGCCCTTGAAGCTGTGAGGTTCAGAAGGACCTAAGACAACGTACCAAAGAGCCAAACCTCCTTTTTTTGTGTGGCTAAAGCTCTGAAATTCAGGGGCCTGCATTCAGAGTCTGCTTGGATTTAAAACACCACAAGTAATTTATTATTAATGTCTGTAAAGGAAAGAAAAGTTCATCTCACCTGCAGATTTCTGTCAATGCACCAGTTGGTTTCAAAGTCATCGTCATCTTCTCCAAAGGGGTTGATCAGCTGCTCAGCTACCTGCAGTGAGAACACAGAATAAGTCAGTCACGATGCTTGTGAAGACTCAGAATAAAGGTTGAAGATGATTCCTATTTCACCCTCTGCTTTCTTTTGTCCCTTTCACCATATGAAGCCTAGAGGGCAGTGGGTTGTTCTACAGAAACAGCCATTTAGCAGCGAGGGAGACTCGACTCTCAGAGCGTGAATGATGCGCCTGCGCGGGCAGGCGTGAATGATGCGCCTGCGCAGTGGGCCTATTTAGCGGGTGACAATGCAGGCCCAGTACAGGAGAAGCCATGGGCTTCCTGGAGTCGAAGAATTGATGTTCAGGTACAAATCAAGCCAGTGAATACTGAAGGAGCACTGACGGTGTGTGAGGTCCTGCACCAGGCACCGTGAGGGGTGCTCAGCCTTCGCTCTTAAGGGATTTGCAAAGGCCCAGGTGATAAGTCAAAATGGAAACATGGGAAAGGTTGAAACAGCAAAGAAAGACTTAGATCATGATGAAAGAAAATAATATAAAGTGCTTTCATAATTACTGGACATAACTGTTAGAGGAACGAGTCAAAGAGCTAGTAAGTCATAAAGCTGGAATTTGTCTCACTTGTTTCACCCTAAAGGATTTACTGTTCTCTAGTGAGTGAGTTTCCCACTGGGAAAAAGTTAGTAGCTTCTTAACACTCGTCTTCTAATGGTTGGTCAATATCATACGTTCTTTCCATGCTCCTGAATTCAGTAGCCTTCTTGATGAGAGATGTATATGCCAAATATGACTCACCTGTTATTCTTATTTTTTTAGTAATTCCCTTTGATTTTTAGTGTGTGTGTGTGTGTGTGTGTGTGTGATTTTTAATTGGGCCTAGATGGAAAAAAATTACAAGTGTGTAAAATAAAGGCACCATTGATTAGTAGTTGCTAGATTCTGAGACTATTTAGTAAAAAATCTACCTATTTATTTTTTTAGGATTTGAGTCTAACCACTTACAGGAGTTGTTCTCAATCTTGGCTGAACATCAAAATCACATGGGAGCTTTTAAAATAAGTGATGCCTGGGACCCTCCCTCAGAAATTCTGATTTAATGGGTGTGAGGTTGGGTAAAACCCCAAGGAGGTGTTAATGGGTGGCCCCGGTTGAGAACCACCCATCTCCCTTATACTAAGGGGCAGCCCTAGGCAGGGCCTGAACCAGTCAGCCGCAGAGCAGTATCCATGTCAAAATCCTTTGCTGCAAGTCCCAAGGGGCTGTCTTCCCTTTCTCGCCTGGGGTTTTCCTTAAATTACATGGGCCACTGGATGGGTCTTGAAAATACTTTTGTTATATTTAGAATTTCACTTTTATGGGATTAGTCCTACATATAGTAGTAGAGTCTACATTTAACTACCAAAATTATATCTATGTCTCTGAATTGACTATCTCACAAAAACATTTTTTTTTACTTTCTTGGAGGCTCCATTCCCAGCAAATAACTGAATAATATACTGTTCGTAAGGTTAGATGGATTTTCTACACTTTGAAAAGAGTTACAAATATTAGAATGGCCAAACAAAACAGCTGTTCAGAAATTGAGATTCAATCTATGGTGGAAAAACGCACTTCTCTTAGGGTTGCCTATCTCTTAATGGAGCTAAGATGGTCGTTTCACATTCTTTCCTTACAAATATCGTATAAAGGAGAAGAGCCGTGATATTCTAGCTGGCACGTCAGGGGCAGGGACTAATGTTCCTTATAGACCAGCCGACTTCAGAGCAGGGGCAGAAGAGCTCAGCACAACTCAGGGGAAAGAACAATAAAAGACCAGAATGATTAGACATTTGGGCCAATTTTGGTGATTTTTCTGCTTATAAAAATAGAGTCTAGCCCTGGCCAGGTGGCTCAGTTAATTGGAACATCATCCGTACACTGGAAGTTTGGGGGTTCAATTCTCTGTCAGGGCACATACCCAGGTTTCAGGCTCAATCCCTGGTTGGGGCTTGTACAGAAGGCAACCAATCAATGTTTCTTTCTCACGTCGATGTTTCTTTCTCACGTCGATGTTTCTCTCTCACATCAATGTTTCTCTCTCTCTCTCTCTACATATATATATATATATATATATATATATATATATATATTTGATATACTACTTAAAATTTTTTTTCTTTATTGATTTTTTTTGAGAGAGAGGAAGGGAGAGGGAGAGAGATAGAAACATCGATGAGAGAAAACATCGATTGGTCGCCTCCTGCATGCCCCTCACTGGGGATTTGGCCCACAACCTGTGCATGGGTCGACGCTCAACCACTGAGCCACACCGGCCGGGCTATTCGGTATACTATTTAATGAAACATTCTCATTTCTTCCAGTCAAATTAGTCTTACTATCTCATATTCCCTTTTATAAAATCACGTAGACTTTTGAATATATCAAAGCTCACAACGGAATCAAACTCATTATTTTGGCAAATTTTTTTTTTTTTTGTATTTTGAAGAAAATTTAAGAAATACATGTAAGTCAACTAGTATTTTTTAAGCATCTTGTATTAGCCCTGTGGTGGAACAAAATGTGTACGAGTAAAAGAAAAAAACAAAAAGGATCACTGTCATCTGGTTAAAAATGTTTTTGTCATTTGTAAAAGATATGTCTTTACTCTTTGGAGTATAATTTGAAATGCCAACATAATTTATTTTTCCTCGTTGAGAGTCAAACCAATGAGAGTGCAGGGAGCTGCAGGAAGTGCTGCTGCAGCCTGGAGGCCTGGGCCGTGCACCCAGCCTGCCAGGTCAGACGTTTGCAAAGTCTATGTTCCATGTCATTAACGTCTTCTGCAAACTGTCATTAGATTTCAATTAACTTAACGTAGCCAAAGAGGCCAATTTTTTTTTTCTTTTTGCATCACATACTGCACTTCTGTTTTGGACGTTCCCCCAAGAGATGGAAGAATCAGACCTCTGAGATTTACACACACCTCTAGGGAAAGGTGAGAGGAGGAGGAGGTGGGGACAACTACATTTTACACTGATCGTTGGACAAGTCGTCCTCACTGTTCTAACTTGTTTTTAATTTCCTGGCAAACCAGATGTTGTCTTTAGTTCTGGTGTCTCTGGTTTTGGTTTCAATGCATTCTTTTCTGAGTCTCAGTCCTGGTTTTGAAAATGGGATGAATTTAATGTTGCAGGACAGCTAGTGGGATTTCAGGGAATCACAACTAACTATTTGCAGAGTCGAGCAGAACCAAGATAATAACATGGTATTAATGCTTACATCCAATAGACAAGGCTTCTTATTTACTCTCTTTTACTGCCTTTTAGTTGCATATCGCAGTAGAGAATATCAATGCAGGAACAGTTATTACTTTACTTACATTACTGTAATCCTATGGACTGAAAAAAATCAATAGCCATAAAAGAGTCTTCTTGTAATCTCTTTGCATAAATGAGCTGCTTCAGTTGCTACAGTAGGTACTCACCACATCCCTGACGCTTTAATCCCTGGTTGAAAAGTAATAACATCTCTGAGCTATTAAATGTTAAGTCTACCTTTGACTCATGCAGGTGTGATTTGCTAGACTCAGTGTGCAGAGTTTGGAACATGACAGAGACGACACAGTGGGTCTCATGACTCTGAGACTGGTGGCTACCTTGAGCCATCCTGCATAGAAGAAGAACTGTAGGAGAGTAAAGATTGGAATGTAAAGATCTAAGTCATGCCCTGCATAGCCTTCTGTGGGGTCCAAAAACTGGCGTCCAATCAGGCACGCGAAGAAGAAGGTGTAGACAGCCAGAGTGACAACCTGGAACAGAGAAAAACCCAAGTGAGAGCACAGTGCTGGCCGCCCACAGCACGTGCCAGGTGGGCGAGAGAAATCAACGTCGTGTGCACATTGTTCGATACCTGGGTGTAAACCAGCGGGATCCCAACCCAGTCGTACCCGAACAAGAGGCTGCACCAAGAGCGGTATCGGTTCATTTCCTACACCAGAAACAGATAAAGCACGGTTCACTGAAATGACCAGTGTGATCACAAATATTTACTAGGACTAGGAATGTGGCCATGTCTTTTATGACTCTGTCTGTAATGAGGGGACTGGTTTTGTAAGGCTAATAAATTGGTTCTGAAGGCCACCCCAGAAGGAAAATTCTGAAAATAACAAGCAATGAATATCATTCAACAATGTACAAAATGAAGTATATATTAATATATATTTTTAAATATTAAGGTAAATCAGGACTTTATAGAAGTATCTCCTATTGAATCCATAATATCCAACATGACATTAGTCCAAAGTGGTGATGGGAAGGCCATGAGTAATATTTCAAATAACTCACTTTTAGCCATTTTGGTAAATTATGTGGAGAGCAGATATTTTTCTTTGTTTTTCTCTTTTGAAAACATGCTTACTATGGATCTTAGAAAAAAGAAAGAAATCCATCCTAAACTCTTACCCTCCTCCAAATGAGGATGCTTATATTGACAGAAAAAAAATCTATCTTTCTTTGAAGCAGGAAGGACTGGGATCCATTGATTCCCCCCCTCCCCCGGCCCCCGGCCATTGCACATAAATTATTATCTGATACTGGGAAGAAGAATTCACACTCATTCAAGAGCTATTTTTTAAATCATTCACTCCTCTTAGCCTAATCCAGGCAGGAGACTATCATGGCACAAATCTATCTAGACTCCACATTAAATTGTTTCTCAGGTGAATTTAGGGTTATTTCATTGAATGATAACACAGTTTTGTTTCCTGGAGCCTCTGAAAAGCTGGCTTAACCTTGAAACATTCCAGTTCGGGGCACTGACTGGGGAGGTCCTAGAGCCAGGGATGCGAATATGCTGTGCGGGCACCAGATCCTCCTGAGCCCCTGGCAGACACAGCTCATCAGTCAAGGGACGCTTTCCTACAGAGCATATTACAAACCTAATACTGTTTAATGCAGGGTTTCCAAGCAACCACTGCCAATCACTCTGAATTAGAACCTGTGAGCTGTCCTTGTCCTGCATGGTGAGGGCTCTGAATTAAAGCATATCTGTCCTGTCTAACCTGTCACATCCAGGTCCCTCTTGGTCTCTGATAGCATCTTTTTTGTGTGTGACAATTTACAGTGTACTTACAGTCATCAATGATTGCAGATCAACACTGTCCCTGATTCTACCTTCCTTCCGGGCTTTGGCTGCCAGATTTCCAAACCAGATGAATGGAACCCAATATTTCAGATGAGGAGATTTGAGGTGGTCGAACAATTTTCTTTCATCTGCTGTCATAAAACCTTTATGAAAAACAAAAATAGCTGGATTATACAGACTTAGTTTAGCATGACTACATTACTGTAAACATTTCAGTATCTACTATGTGAGTGTATAGTGGGGGAATATTAAAGAAATATAGAGGTTCCTGTTGCAAGTAGTTTATACTTGTACTAGAAATAAGGAATGTGTTGGCACAAGCACATGCATGCAAACAAACACACAGTGCGTGAACACACAACTTATATATCACTGTATGAGGCAATACATGTTGGCAATCTGTAATAGAGATGGCCATTAGGGAATAAGGTGACAATAAGTGTGACTAGGATATCTGGGGAAGGTTTCTTCTTTAGGTTTTGATTTGTTCATCTAAAATTGTGAACAATAATACTTAGAATTGTTAGGATTAAAAGAATAAAAGATGATATGCCCGGCCGGTGTGGCTCAGTGGAGCATTGGCCCATGGCCTGAGAGATTCTGGTTCAATTCCTGGTCAGGGCATCTGCCTGGGTTGTGGGCTCGATCCCCAGTAGGAGATGTGCAGGAGGCAGCCAATGGATGTTTCTCTCTCACATCAATGTTTCTATCTCTCTAAAGAATCAATAACATTATTTTAAAAAAAAGAATAAAAGGTGATAATGTATACAAAGCACTTAGTATGGTGTGGAAACATGGACCACACGACTTTCCTCCTGACCACTCCCTTCCAAGTCCTAACTAACCAGGTCCTCATCTGTGAAGCCCTCCCTGAGATTTTCTCCTTCAAAGCTCCCACCAAGGGCTTTTTCATGCCTCGTATTATGCTTTGTTATATATCAATGTTTCCCCTGCCAAGTTCCTTGGGAAGGATAAAGAGCATATTATTTTCATAATTCTCATGATATTCTGCATCTGCTTGAAAGGTGCTTCTTTAATTTTGTGTGTCTGTGTGGATACGTGTGTGTGTATCACACAATTTGCTTGAGTTTGCAGAGATCTCTCTAAGCCTCAGTCTTCTCGTGTGTAAGAGGGGGATGATAATATGCACTTCACCGGGATGTTGTAGTTACCCGAGATGATGAAAACATGTCAGGATATCAACAATGCCTTGCACATACTTTGCACGTAGTCAGTGCTGAGGCATAATGTATTATGTGAAACTTTAGCTAGCTACCTTCGTTTCATCTGCGCAGCAAAGAAAGGAGAGATCTCACTGATAGGAGGAATAATGTAGCAGGTTTATTTGATAAACAAACATTTATTGAATGTCCACTATGTACCAGGGTTTGTTCATACAAATATTTACTTAAAAAGCTTGCGGTTTACACTTAACCTTTTATTAAACACACACACACACACACACACACACACACACACACACTTGATTAAGTAATTCAAATGGTACAAAAATCCAAAAGGGCCAAAGGAATATTAGTGGGGAAAGTGAGTCTCATTTTCCCAGCCACAAAATTTCCCTCTGTGAAGGAAATCACTACAACCAGTTTATCGTGTATCTTTCCAGAGAAAGACCACAAATTGCATACAGCCCTAATTTTTAAAAAATTTGTTTTCTTTTTATTGATTTTTTAGAGAGAGAAGAAGGGAGAAGGTGTGAGAGAGAGAGAGAGAGAGAGAAACATTGATGAAAGAGAACATTGATTGGCTGCCTCCTGCACGACTCCCCCCTCCCCCGGGGTTTTGGTCCACAACCTGGGCATGTGCCCTGAAAGGGAATCAAACCCGCGACCTCTTGGTGCATGGATCGATGTCCAACCACTGAGCCACACTGGCTAGTCACCCTTTGACTTTTTAAGTGGACTTTTAAATGTTCATTATGATTTAGTATAAACAATATTTTCTGCATTAAAGTTTATTTCTAAAACTGATTTGGGGTGAGATAATTTTATTGCTTTTTTCTCAGTAACACATTTTTTATCCTTAAGCATCTCAATGAGTTGATGAATCTGGCCATCTTATTTAAAATAATCCTCCGTCCTAACCATGAAGACTGAGTTTTATTTAAGAATTGCTATAGCACAAAGAGGTCAAATGAGAAGTGAGACTTGCTCATTTTGAGAGTCTCCAATTTATAGAGCTTTGGAATTACCCTGATTTTTTATATGATCTAGGCCAGTATGTTTGAAAATAAGGTCCATGCTGGAGAGTATTATGCTAAGTAAAATAAGCCAGTCAGAGAAAGACAATTATCACATGATTTCACTTTTATGTGGAATCTAATGAACAAAATAAACTGATGAACAAAATAGGTCCAGAGACAGGGAGGCAGGGAACAGACTGAGGAAGCTCAGAGGGAAGGAGGAAGGAAGGATGGGAAGAGATAACCAAAGAGCTTGCAAGCAGACAATAGTGTGGTGAAGGCAGGGGTAGGGATGGGAATGGGGAGAAGGGGATCAGTGGGAGGGAAAGGGGACACCTGTAATACTTTCAACAATAAAGATAAATAAAAATAAATTTATTATATGTACAGAAGGGAGAAAAAGAAGGTCCACGGATCATGGGTATCGAAATCATGTGTGACACCTATGCGGGGCCCACCCTCACCTACTAAATCATTCATTAGGCAGGACTTCTGGGCCTAGGCCTGCACCTTAGAGTCTCATGTGGATACTATTAGAAAATACCAAAGCAACGCATTGGCCGTATCTCCAGAGACTGAGCCGATTGGTCCAGAGTGAGGTCCAGGCATCAGCATTCTTTTCAATCTTCTTGGGTGAGTTCACGGAACTGGGTTCATGAAGTTGCAAGTTTACCCTGCTCTGCAGGAAATTCTGACCTCAGCAATGTTTGCAAATCCCTGCCCTGAGAACTGAAGATTCTGCTTGTTCGTATTTGAAATAAACAGAATAACAACTACAAAGCCAATATTTACCAACAGGAGATTAGTTTTAGATACTAGTCAGGTTATTCATATGAGCTTAGAAGGGTTCTGCCCATGCCTGGGGAATTCGACTCTCTTTGGAGGTCAAATATAAAAACAAGCCTGATAATTCTCTTTTCGTTTCTCAGCGCATTTCAAAGTTGTTGCACGAGCCAGATAATTGCTTTTTCTTTTCTTTTTTTAGACGTGCAGAACATGATTCATTCTTATTACGAGAAGTTAATAGATACACGTGGCCTGTCTTGGCTCTATGCTTTAAGACTTATTGCAGCGCGTCACCCTGTATGCCTGGACACCTATTCTCAGACATTTCATCTCAATGACCTAACAGCTAATTCTTGGGATTATAGTGCAAGTTTTCAAAAAATAATCCCAATTATGTACTGGCTGTAATCTTGGTCATTCAACCAAAGAATAACTTTACCTCTGGACATTTTTTATTCAGGAGTATGGGTCGAATTATACTGGCAAATCCTCTCTTGGCTTCTTGGCCAAAAGCAAATATGAAGAGTGAGAGTTTATTTAGTGCGAACGCCTAAGCTGGAGTTAGGTGCCCCCAGCATGCAGCACACTCACACCGACTGGAAGGGGACATGCAGAGCAAGGAAAGCTGGTGGGTTTTCATTTTAGCCCAAATTTATTTATTACTTTGCTGTGAAAGATGATTAAATAGACACTAACATGTCCTCCAAGTGTGTATAGGCAGAATAATTTTTGTTATCCACTCAGGGTCACACATCTTATCCCCATCTTTGGAAATCGAAGTTTTTGGTCAATTGAAAGAAAAACCTCTAGATCGTTGGTCAAATTGATTCAAAGAGCATTTGCTATCAAATACAGTGTTATCCTCATCAGCACTTTGAGCCATTTTAACCCGAGACCTATGATCTTTCTCAGAACGTGCTCATTATCCTCAGCTCTAAGGCTATGTTAAACACAGGTATTGATCTGCCACGGTTTGGCAGCACTGTCAACTGGCTGGTCATCACGCTGCGCTGTCTCCCTCACTTGTCTGTCATCATGCCACACTCCCTCAGGCGCGACCCATGCCCCTGACACTGCCGCTTTCTCTTGCCACTGCATCTGTCTGGAGTTTCTCTTGTTTTATCTTTCCTTCTGGCTTTCTGGCTGGTTCACCTCTGTTCAGTAATTTTCCTACTGCTCATCTCAAAGAACCCGCCTTACTATTTCATATCAAAGTAAATAAAAATCTACACACATATACATATATATATATATGTTTGTATTTACTTGCAACTAGAATTGTGGTTTGACAGAGTAAGTTCTGCTACTCAAAGGCAACATTTTATTGCCCTCAAGTGAAAAGACCAATTAGGTCTATTGATAAACACTATTCCAGTGGCCATAGATTTTTGTCTGTACAGTTCATCTGTTTTTCAGCTGCAGCCGAGGCAGCTGTCTTGCCTTTAAAGCAGAGTGTGCAGATGAGGCTCTGTTACCAGAGGAGCTAAAACTGCATTTCAACACTTGAAGGAAGAGTGGGTTTGTTGCCAGTTCTTTCTGAAAGAGAAAGTTGTGATTCAGCAACTGAGCCCTTCTCAGACACATGACTTTGTCAGGGACATCGCTAAGTGCCTGGCTCATTTTCATTTTTGTATTTTCCAAATGAATGGAACGATGGTGGAGGCTTAGACATCCCTGCCAAGTGGGAAAATCAAGGGGAGGCAAAAATGAGATCGGGAGAGAGATGGAATCACATTGTGAAGGCATTGTGTAGGGTTGTATGTCAGAAAGTTTATACTACCACCCCCAGTAAGATATGTGTGTCTCACAAAACAGTGATCAGCTCTTCTACACGACGCGCTCTCTGATGTTTTCTGTTCCACTCCACTCCACTCCGTTCCACTCCATCCATCCCACTCCACTCCATTCCACTCCACTCCACTCCATCCATTCCACTCCACTCCACTCCGTTCCACTCCATCCATTCCACTCCACTCCGTTCCACTCCATCCCACTCCACTCCGTTCCACTCCACTCCACTCCATCTATTCCACTCCACTCCAATCCACTCCGTTCCACTCTACTCCACTCCGTCCCACTCCGTTCCATTCCACTCCACTCCAGTCCACTCCGTTCCACTCCACTCCGTTCCACTCCACTCCACTCCGTTCCACTCCA